TCCTTGCACCCCTATCACTTACAGAATTATAAGTGTTTTATGAACTGTGTGCCAGGAAACAGAGACAAAGATTTCTATATCTATGTCTATTATCTGTCTGTCTATCTATATGTATGTATTTGAGATGGAGTGTTGCTCTTTCACCCGGGCTGGAGGCCAGTGGCATGACCTCAGCTCGCTGCAACCTCCACCTCCCAGACTCAAGCGATTCTTCTGCCTCAGCCTCCTGAGTAGCTGGGATGACAGGTGTGCACCACCACACCCAGCTAATTTTTGTATTTTTAGTAGACACGGGGTTTCACCATGTTGACCAGGCTGGTCTCAAACTCCTGACCTCAAGTGACCCACCCGTCTCAGCCTCCCAAAGTGTCGGGTTTACAGGCATGAGCCACTGTGACTGGCCAATATGCATTTCTTATTATAAATCACAGTATCACAAGCAAAAAACACGTATCAACCAATCTGGGATTCCAAATGTCCTCTCCTAAATGACTGGAAGCAAATACTTCCATGATCTGGACCTCTTCTGCCAAGTCACGTGTACTCCACGCCATAGTTGGCCCTGCCCGTAGGATCCTAAGTGCCCTTCCCCGTCGCTTCTTCTCTGGCCAACAATTTGGAATAGCAAATGAGCTGCTCCCTTTGCCAGGACCAGGATGTGTTTCAGAAGCATCGTTTCTGCTTGTCAGCTTTTGGTCTGTAGTTCCCAGCCAAGTGCACCATCTGTGAGCTCTGCCTGGTGCTGTGATGATTTGGTCCAGAGCTCCATGTGGACCTGTGAAATGCACCAGTTCCAAACTGCTGCGCTCCCTGCACCCTGAGGCAAGGTTTCAGAGAGGTGGGTGGTCTCGCTCCTCCTCCTACCTTGAAGGTGCGGTGTTCAAAGACGGCCTCATTCTCCTGGTGCTGGCAAGCATGGGTTTTGCCACATCCTGTAAACTGTGAGATTCCCAAGTGGGAGGGAATGGTGCGCGTTATATCACGGTCAGGAGCTTAAGTAGCCCGGCGGACATATCTTAGATCAGGTCTCATGTGTTTTTTTGTTTGTTTATTTGTTTTTTGTTGTTTTTTTGTTTTGTTTGAGACAGGGTCTCACTCTGTCACCCAGGCTGGAGTGCAGTGGTGCCATCTTGGCTCAATGCAACCCCCGCCTCCCAGGCTCAAGCGATTCTTCTGCCTCTGCGTCCCACGTAGCTGGGACTACAGGTGCCTACCACCACACCTGGCTAATTTTTGTATTTTTAGTAGAGATGGGGTTTCACTATGTTGCCCAAGCTGGTCTCAAACTCCTGGCCTTAAGTGATCCACCCTCCTCGACTTCCCAAAGTGCTGGGATTACAGGGGCGAGCCACCGCATCCAGCCCTCATGACATCTTTGCAAAAATTTAGATCCATGTCCTTGAGCTTCTAAGCCTGTATGAACAGTTAGACCTCACTGTGGGTGCAGATAGTGGGATGACACCCACTGCTGATAGACCAGCATTCCAGAGGGAGTACCTAGGAAAAAGAACCACAGTACTTGGGGCATCTCCTAGTCCAGTGCTTCTTAACCTTCCTCTTCTTTCTTTAAATAAGCACCACCCAAGAGCCTTTTCAGATAGGCATTTTTCCAGTTGTCCCACCCCCTTGAAATTTTGTACAAATACACTGTGTATTATGTACTGTGCCCTAGGAGAGCCACAAGCCTTTGTAATATCTAACATTGGCTAATGTTATTTTGTTCCCTAAGAATCCATTTTAACCCCATTGTTGGTGATACTGTCTCTCTTGAGAATGCATAATTTAGTCTGAGACTGGTCGTCCAGCCTCACCTATGACCAGCAGAGGTGATTTGGGCTGAGTAGAGAGTTCCTGCACGTGTGTAACAAGCATGGCTATCCAAGACGTGGAGCCACATGGAGTTAGCTTTCAGAGGTGTCAAATTCTAGTAGACTGGGCCATTTTCTTTTCCCTCTGGCTTTCTACTTTTCACTTTTACAAACACTGGTTGAGTATCTATCTGTAGGCAAATATCTTGTTCTGTATTCGAGATAATGTTGTTTTGTTTTTTCTTTAAAAATGAAGTTATTAAGGTCAGGTATGGTGGCTCATGCCTGTAATCCCAGCACTTTGGGAGGCTGAGGAAGGAGGATCACTTGAACCCAGGAGATCAAGACCAGCCTGGGCAACATAGCAAGACCCCCCTCTCTATTTTTTTTTCCCCCAGACGGAGTCTTGCTCTGTCGCCCAGGTGGGAGTGTGGTGGTCTTATCTTGGCTTACTGTAACTTCTGCCTCCCGGGTTCAGCGATTCTCTTGCCTCAGCCTCCCAAATAGCTGGGATTACAGTCGCTTGCCACTAGGCCCAGCTAATTTTTGTATTTTTAGTAGAGACAGCGTTTCACCATGTTGGCCAGGCTGGTCTCGAACTCCTGACCTAATGATCTGCCCACCTCGGCCTCCCAAAGTGCTGGGATTACAGGCGTGAGCCACCTCACCCAGCCCCCCTCTATTTTTTTAGGTGAGTTGTTAGATCCAAAGGAAACAGCACTTTACAGGATCTTGATTGGTACTTCCTGTCTATACCTGGGACAAATATACCAGGAATGCATTATAGAGGCGATCTCTTGGTATTTCTGGCAGTGTCAACTAGTGTGCTTTTGGAAGTATTTGCTAATTTTGAAGGCAAGATGGTAACTCATTGTTGCTTGAATTCGCTTTCTTATGATTATCAGCAAGAGTGAAATTTTAGAAGTATCTTGTTGAATGATGAGGTAAATCGATTTCTTGTCCAGAGGCCACTGAGGGCCCCTCGTCACTTGGTGGTTAAATCCTCCCTTTCCCAATTGACTTGCCACGCCTCCCTAATCCTTTAGGAAGTTTGACCTCTGCTGGGATCTGTTCCTGGACAATCTGTTCTGAATTATTGGCATCTTGATGCTCACATCTGCTTGGCATGGTGAGATAGGTTTTGAATGAATAGTCTTTGAAGGTGAATGCACTCTGAGAGGGCATTGATTTATGTGTGGGCATTCGGGCAAACTCTTGTGTGCAGACACCTGGCTCTCTGTGCTGGCTGCAGCCAAGATAGGGATGTGGTGAACTTTTGATGGAGTTGCCCTTTTGAGCAGTTCTAAGGGTGCAGAATGCTACACTGATGACTCCTGGAGGATCCAATAATGCCTTGCAGGTTCGCTTTTGTCTGTTGAGTTGGCTCAAGTCCACCTTCTGGTTACTGTCAGCTCTAGCATGAAAGATCCAACAGATGCTGAATTGAACAAAGAAAGAGCGAGCAAGAGACATCATTCATTCATTGTACAAGTACATACTGAAGGCCTGCTTTGGTGTTCCATATACAAAGATGTTTCAGACCAAGTCCTTGACCTTGCAGAACTCACAATCTTTCACTTCTGAGATAGGCATGCAAATCAGTGACTGAGATATAAGGTTTTCTTTTATTGTATTGTTTTATTATTATTATTTTTTGAGATGGAGTCTCGCTCTTGTTGCCCAGGCTGGAGTGCAGTGATGCGATCTTGGCTCACTGCAACCTCCGCCTCCCAGATTCAAGCGATTCTCCTGCCTCAGCCTCCGAAGTAGCTGGGATTACAGTTGTGGGCCACCACACCCAGCTAATTTTGTACTTTTAGTAGAGACAGGATTTCACCATGTTGGTCAGGCTGGTCTCGAACTCCTAACCTCAGGTGATCCACCCACCTCGGCCTTCCAAAGTGCTGGGATTACAGGCATGAGCCACTGCGCCTGGCCGGGTTACATGGTTTTAAATTCTACAGTAGGTACACATGGAGTTAGTAGGAGAGAGAGAAAAAAAGTTCGACCAGTTCTGCCTAATGAGATCAGGAATAAAACAAAAAGAGAACATGGCATTTCAGCTCTGTCTTAGAGAAAGAGATATTCACCAGATAGACAAGTGAGGGAAAGCATCTCGGATGGAGGGACCAGCATACACATGCAAGCAGAGGTGTGAAGGAACTTGCATCTTATGCAAAGGTTGGGGACAAATGGATGCAAAAGAGATAGTGAGGCTTGAACGCTATGCTGAGGTGGTATCCCTATTTTCAATCAAAGGTGCTGTTCAGGCCAGGTGCAGTGGCTCATGCCTGTAATCTCAGCACTTTGGGAGGCCAAGGCAGGTGGATCACTTGAGGTCAGGAGTTAGAGGCCAGCCTGGGCAACATGGTGAAACCCCATCTTCTACTAAAAATACAATAATTAGTCGGGCTTAGTGGCTCGCTCCTGTAATCGCAGCTACTTAAGAGGCTGAGGCATGAGAATCGCTTGAACCTGGAAGGTGGAGGTTGCAGTGAGCCGAGATTGCACCACTGCACTCCAGCCTGGACAACAGAGCAAGACACCATCTCAAAAAACAAAAAAAATGTTTGTTCAAATGTGGAAAGCATGATCAGATTTGGTTTGGGGGAATTAAACTGAGAACTGCATAGAAGAGGCTGTGAAGGTAAGAGTGTAAAAGCCATGCTGCTCATAACAGAATCGTAGCTACGAACATTAATTCTTGGAAGGATTTTCTCACCTTCGTTGTTGAAAAGAGAACTAGCCATTGAGTAATGAGGAAGATACAGCAGCCACAGATACTTAAGAGGTAGAATCAAGAAGGCTTGATGACTAAATGCATATGTAGGTGACAAGGATGGTGGAAGAGATGGGGTGAAACTGCCACTTCCATCATGTCCAACTGGGCAATTCAGAGTAAAAGGAGAAGTAGGGGTGAGGTATAGCCGTGTTAAGTGGGAAGTGGTGGTTGGACATTTAGCTAGAAATACCGTCAAATGTTTAGGAATACGTGGATGTACTAATAATTGCCAGTTTCTTGTGGTACTTTCAGTCACTGAAGAACATTGAACAGTTTTAAGTAAGGTTACCAGCTCTTCTTCACTGACTGAGGTCACGCCAAGAAGAAAAGCATAGAGGTGTTTGTTGCCTCGGGGACAGTAGGTCAAGTTCAGCTTGTTTGCAACTCATATTTACATCTTCTCCTTGCAGGGGATGGCCAGGTGGATTTTGATGAATTCATGACCATCCTTGGCCCCAAACTGGTGTCTTCAGAAGGTCGCGATGGTTTTCTTGGAAACACGATAGACAGCATATTCTGGCAGGTGAGTAAGAATTTTTTTTTTTTTTTTCAGACTGAGTTTGACAGTAAACATGTCTGAGAGTAACTTTTGCCTCTGAATTCTTGAGCTTCTGTTTGGCACATGAAGATCTCTTCTGGGCTGAGCGACATATGTTCCCGAACAAAGATTCAAAACTATTACTTTTTTAGGGTTTGGAGGAGTGAAATATCTTCTCATTTTTTTCTCATAGGATTTTTTTTTTTTTCCATTTGGGAAAAGTGAAGTTATTCTACTGCTCATTCACAAGAGTCTTTTTCCTGGGGACACTGCAAAGGGGCACACGGATATTATCTGAACCGGTTCTGTCTTTGACCCCAGTTCCGGGATATCTTTGCTGAGAGAACGGCATGGTTGCCTGGTACATTTGGATCCCATCAATATCCTTGTACTTAATGAGAGAGCTTGGTTTTGTCTAAGAATGTGTGTTCAGTGCTTCTCAGTTAGCTCCTATTTCTATCTTGTAAAATCTCTTAGGAAATTCCAAACATCTAACATTCTAATTATTAAAGTATAATGAAATCATTTTTATATTACTTCTCTACTCTTAAAACGTGACAATTATTTTATGATTATAAAATTTAGGGAGTGGGTTATCAATCATTATTTTAAAAAATTTGAATCAAGTAAGTTGTCTGTCAAATTAAATTAAATTACTGGTTAGACACGTAAAACGCCATTCAGACACAGCATGGTTTTTTGAAAATTTCTTGATACTGTTTTTTCCCTTCGCTGAGAGATTTCTCTAACCTAGCTAAGGGTTGCAGTTGACATGTCTTTCTAGTCTTATTCAGGTGCCCATATTGCACAGAACCAACAAGTATTTAGTAAGAACTTATGTATGCTATAATCTATCAGTCTTTGTGGGTTTTACAAAAGGCATTTGAGACTCAGACCTAGCTATTTAAGAATTTGACTGGGGAAGCTGAATTTGGTGGCTCATGCCTGTAGTTCCAGCACTTCGGGAGGCTGAGGCAGGAGGATCGCTTGAGGCCAGGAGTTCAAGACCAGGCTGGTCAACATAGCAAGATCCTGCCTCTACAAGCAATTTTAAAAATTAGCCGTATGTGATGATGCATGCCTGTAGTCCCATCTAGTCTTGAGGCTGAGGCAGGAAGATGGCTTGAGCCCAGGAGCTCAAAGCTACAGTGAGCTATGATCACACCACTGCACTCTAGCCTGGGCAACAGAGCAAGACCCTGTCTCAAACAAACAAAAATAATAATTTGGGTAGGGAAACACAATTAAGAAAGGGAAAACAAACAAGTGATTAATTAGTGTGATGATCACTAGACTGTAATTCCTTGAAGCACAGGGCTTCAGAGTTGTAGCTCACTCGGTGCATGCTGTACACAGCAAGCTGTCAATAACTATTTGTTTCAATAGATAAATGGAAGGGCAAGAAAGGAGGAAAGGTCTTGAAGGGTCAGAAAAGAATTTAGGGAATGTGACACTTGCTTTGAACCTTGAAATATGGGTGGAATTAAATGCAAAGAAAGAAAAGAGGGCATTCCAGGCCTGCTATGATGAGAGTTTGAAAAGGGGTGGGCATGGGGAAGTCATCGACCACGACTAAGATACCATTTGAAGGGCAAGACCTCAGGACCCACTGGCAGAATGGATTTAGGGCCTGAAGAAAGGGAAGAGGTGAGGCTGACTCCAAAGTTCTCCACTTGCTGTTATTGGCAGGCGTCAGATCATGGAGCAACAAAGAAGTCTTATAGGGTTGAATCCTCAATTGAACGTGCTGAGTGGAAGGTGAGGGTCAAGTGGCCAAGCAAAGGGAGGAAGTCTACGCACAGCTGAAATCAGTCTATGAACACCGGATTGAGATTCATGAGAGCTGGTAGGTAAAATTGTAGGCAAGGATGAGCTCACCGAGGGAAAGCGCATAAATGAGGATGAGCAGAGAGACGGGACATGGTCCAAGAGGACATCCAGGGTCAGGGGAGAGTGAGACAGGGGCTCTTGAAGTCCCCACTGCCGATAGGAAAACGCCATCTCCCTGAACTGATGTTAGGATCCAGAAGATCTCCAGGACCTGACTCACCATGCAAGAAGAATATTGCCGTGCTCATGGAACCTTCAGTTATGACTTGACACTTGCAAGGACAGACAGATAGAGTCCCCTGGTGGAAATAGGAAATGACCCAGAGTTCAGAAGATGAAGGAACATCATTTCCCACCTGGCCATCATTTGGCCCATGGAGGTTTACTCTGATGGGCCTTGGCGAGTTGCTTCTCCCCTGGGTCTTTCTCCTTCATTCTCTCATTCGCCATCTGTTGTCCTGAATGCCTTTTTGTGTGTTTGTCTTTTGTGTGTTTTAAAGACAGGGTCTCATCCCGTCACCCAGGCTGGAGTATAATGATGCAACCATAGCTCACTGTAGCCTTGAACTCCTGGGCTCAAGTGATTCTCCCACTTCAGCCTTCCAAGTGGCTGGAACCACAGGTGCAAGTCACCATACCCTGCTATTTTTTTTGTGTTTTTTGGTAGAGATGGCATCTTGCTATGTTGCCCAGGCTGGTCTCAAACTCATAGCCTCAAGCGATCCTCCTGCCTTGCCTCCTAAAGTGCTGAGTTTACAGGAGTGAGCCATGGCACCTGAGCCCCTGAATGCTTTCTACTCTTTACCTCCATCCTTAGGGCCCACTCCAGCCTAGGAGAATGTTCCAAGGGCTTGTAAGCTCTAAGCATTCTTCTTTCTGGCCCTCATCTGGATGGGAAGGAGCTATGGCTACTTAATCTACACTTAAGCAGAGGCCTCTTGTCTTCCAGGTTCATCACAGTAGAGCATGTGCACTGCAAGGAACTATTTCTCTTACAATATATGGACTGCCTGTAGCTTAATTCAGACATGCTATAATGCTCACAAAGTCTTCGTGTTTTTGTCTTACTCAAGATTTTCTTCCACACTCAGGGTGAAAAGACAGGTTGGAGAAAGGAGAGTAAAAGGGGAAAATTCCATCTTGAAATATTTAAATCAATGCTGGAAGGCACAGACTTAGTGGCTGTGGCTTTCCTCTCCTGCTGGTGCTCACCCAGCTCAGAATTTTACGACTAGCAAGCGAGAACAAAAACATCCATCAATTCTCAGTAATCAGCTTCCCCCTTTTCCCCCTGTGACTGCCTGCCCCTTCAGAGACAGCGTGAAAAAATGGTATTTAAAACATCTACAGCATTGGCTTGTTTCTGGAAAAGAGTTCAGGTTCCCAGTGCTTGAGCGGTTTTTCAGGTTTAGAAGAAAGCTGAGTGTGTGCCTGTGTGTGTGCACATATATATACATGTGTGTGCACATATATATACATGTGTGTGTTTCCTTCCTTGAAGTGATTGAAGATAATGTACAGAAAAAGAAGCAGAAAAGTTGCTTTCCCAACACGGTGAGACCCTGTCTCTACAAGCAAGTTGAAAAATTAGTTGGGCATGGTGGTATGCACCTGTAGTCCCAGCTACTCTGGAGCTGAGGCAGGAGGATCCCTTGAGGCCAGGAGTTTGAGGCTGCAGCGAGCTGTGGCTGTGCCACTGGACTCCATCCTGGGTGACAGAGTGAGACTCTGTCTCAAAAATAAATAAATAAATAAGAAAGGTAGCTTTTCACCTCCAGATATCCAGGCAGAAGATATTGATCTTAGACTCTAACAAGGCTTCCCCTCAGTAACAAAGTCAGTTTCCCATGGAAACAGACATGAGACTACCTCTGGAAGGGTATATATCTGTGATCTATGGCTGCATAATACATTACACCAAAATCTAGGGACAGAAAATAACACTAAATACTTCCTATCTCACTTAGTTTCTGTGGGTTGGGAATTTGAAAAGCTGGCTAAACTGGGTGGTTCTAGCTCAGAGTCTCTAATTCAGTTGCAGCCAAGATGCTGGCTGGAGCTGTGACCAGCTGTGGGCTTGACTGGAGTAGAAGATGTGCTTCCTGGTGGCTCACTCACCTGGCTGGCAAGGTAATGCTGGTGGTTGACAGGAGCTCTCAGGTCCCTACTACACGGACCTCACCACAGTGCTGCTTGAGTGTCCTCCTGACATGGCAGCCAGTTTCCCTCAAAGCCAGTGATCCAGGACAGTGCTAGGCAAGAGCAATGATATCTTTGATGCCCTAGCTATGGAAGTTGAACACCATCATTTCTACAATATTGTCTTGGTTACACAGGTCATCCCTATTCAGTGTGGGAGAGAACAGCCTCCCAGTGAATATCAGGAGTCAGGAGCTGTTGTGGATCACTCTGGAGGTTAGCTACCACAAAGGGTAAAGATTCTGTCATTGGACTTCAACTTCTGATCTGACATTGCTGCCCCAAGCCTTCGATTTTCCCCAGGCTTTGGTTTCTTCCTATCTTAGAGGAAACCTATAAGACTATTCTCTGTATCACTGAGAAGCAATCCTATCAAGCACTAGGTACCTTTTCCTAATGAAATCCTTTTTCCAGGTCGGACAGGGTGGCTTATGTCTGTAATCCCAGCACTTAGGGAGGCCGAGATGGGCGGATCACTTGAGGCCAGGAGTTTGAGACCAGCCTGGCCAACATGGTGAAACCTCATCTCTACTGAAAAAAATACAAAAGAAAAAAATTAGCTGGATGTGGTGGCAAGCGCCTATAATCCCAGCTACTCAGGAGGCTGAAACATGAGAATTATCTGATCCTGGGAGGTGGAGGTTGCAGTGAGCTGAGATCGAGCAGTCACTCCAGCCTGGGCGACAGAGCAAGACCCTGTCTCAAAAATAAATAAATAAATAAATAAATTAATTAATTAAATTAAATTTTTTTCAGTGCTTTCCTTACTGGCGTTCTAGCCTATACTGCCAAGGGTAGAATAAAATCAAATGGGATTCAGCAAAAACAACTATTTGTTGGTTGGCACTAGTCACAAATTTATGAGCCCCTGGCTCTTTTCAGGAAATTGGTTATCAGTAAAGGGGGAATACAGTTGGCTACAAATGCAGCTTCCTTCCCAGGGAGGATGGTCTGAG